CCAGGTTAAGTGTCTGGCAGAGAGTGAGGCTCAACCCAGCTAGCGATGATTGCATACTGGAGTGCATGCCATGTGTCAGTGTGGCACTGGTCTTAGTGGCCACAGCCCTATGAGGTAAGCTTGATTTCCCCATTATGGTGCATGAGGAAGGGGAGGCTTGCAGACGTGTCCCAAGGCCACACAAGCTGGTAGAGCCAGTGTTAGAACTCAGGTGTATTCTCATTATGTCCACATTCTTTCTAGATAAACCATCTCTGTGGATCTGTGTCAGGCCTGTTCATGTTTTCCTCATCACTGTCTCCTAGACTTTGTGTGTGGGTTCATGGACAACACCCAGTAGGTGGGAAAATCAGGATCCAAGGGGTTATTTGATCAAGTTCACCATACAGGAGGGCAACCAACCAAAACCAAAATCCTTTGTCTTCTAGACTATGGACTTTTCCATCACAACTTTTTTCCTCATGCTCTTGCAAGAACTAAACCCTTGCTATCTGAGATGGGGAAAGAGTCAGGGAAAGAAAAGACTTTAAATGTAATCTCATTTTTGTTAAGTTTTGAAGTTAATAGAAGGCTTATTAATAGCAGTTGAAGTATTTTTGCTTCTATGCATGAAGGCTAAAAATATCTTTTAAAAAAATAACATTTAAGAGCAACCAATTTCTCCATTGAATAAAAGTAAAAACTTGGATACTTTTTCAAATTAGTCCAAAATCGCATTTAGGAACTTCATTGTATACTGTCATGCTCATGCTAAGACAAACCAAAGTTTAGGATTGGATTTCTTTTGTTTCTTCTTTTCAGTATCCAATGTTCATGGATTAAGTTCTGGAGACATTCTAATTGTGAGGCAGAGAGCTGTTTGGATTCTACCATGGGTATGATACTTGGGTTGGATACAGGAGGGTGAGGTACATTTTTTCAAACCCATATGGACTACATAGTAGTTTCCAAGGTAAAAAATTAATTACCTCCTCCTTGGTATTCCACTCCCTGGAGAACTACTCAGTACTACAAAAAAACTCCAATTCTACCAAATCTTTCTACAAACTGGGGTCCTTCTGGTTACTTACCTGTGACATTTTTCAACATAGTTTCAAAAATTTTTATAGTCATTAGCAAACCATTCAAACGAGGCATGCTCTCAATCAGCTCAAATTCTTGTCCTGTCTCTTTGTAAAATGAGATTTATCCTTCTATTGTTCTGGAGTTAGATAATTTTCTCCTCTTCTATGCCTTAACAATGAAGAACACATCTCAACATACCCAAATTTTCATGGTGTTAGAAGTTCTACAGCTTCCATTTTCAAAGCTTTTAATGTATCTTCAAATCCAAAACAGTATTTGCCCATGTTCTGACTGATTTCATCAAAGTACTGTCTATTAATTTCTTTTCTTTAATGAATTTCAAATTGGAGAGGACTTCAGTAGACAACTCAATAGCTTGCTTGAATCTGTTTTCACCTCATAGAATTTATCAACTAATTTAAAAACTTTTGATTATAACCTGTGATCAAACATGTCAGTTGACTTAGTTCAGTTTTAAAGTTAGATGGGTCAGATAAAACAGGACCAGCCACATTCACTTTGTCTTCAGAAACAAACACCTGTACAGCAATCTCTAAACATAATTATATAGTATTTCCATTCTTTAATGGGCAAAACACAAGGTTGATTGACCTCTGTTGTGTTTCTCTGAGAGTTCTACAATGGATTTGTGCAAGCCTTATCTTATTTCCTTAGGGCGTGCCAAAAAGTACATACTAAGCTGGGTGTGGTAGTGTATGCCTGTCATCCTAGTGATGGCAGGAAACCTAAAATGGGAGGTATGGTTCAAGTGGTAGAGAGCCTGCCTAGCAACTGTAAAGCCCTGAGTTCAAACCCTAGTACCTGCTAAAAGAGGGGGAAGGGGCACACTGCCGTCTGTTTCAACAAAACTGCACTAAGCCATCACCTGGCTCAAGTGGTAGAGCCTTTGCAAAGTAAGCACAAGGTCCTAATTCAAAACCCAATGCCACCAAAAAATAATAAAACAATAAAACAGAAAAAATAAATGATAACTTGTATAGCTTCTATATGGAACTTCCTGTCACACAAACACAGTGATTGTTTAACTGGGTTGAGAGGTTCAAAGTCAATGTTGACTTTCCTTTCTTTCCTTCTTCTGTTACAGTTGCTCCATAGTAAACAACCAGAGCATTTGGAGGTCTTTGCTTTAAGCTTGAGCCCTTGTTACACAGGTATAATGGCTCTCAGGAGTGAGAGGCAGTTTACCCTGACTTAATGTTAGCTGTAGTTCCAATCTCATCTGATAACACTTTTCCACTAGTGAAATCTGGTCTTTGGGAGGAATGGTCAATAGTACACTGGAGCCTTTGTTCGGGCCACCTAGAAGCTCTTAAGGAGCTTCTGGATCTTCCAGATTTCTACATTCCTGTCAGCAGTACTGAAGCCTGCTATCTTCTCAGTCCTCCTTCCACCAGTCCTGAGTCTGACTCTCCAGCCCAGCTCCCTTTCTCCAGGTCCCTGCAAGTGATGCAATCCACTCACATGGGGCCTCAAAAGGAAAGTCTTAACCATGAGACCATGGGTGTGTCAGTCACCTTAATGACACCAAAACTACTACTACTTCTCCTTTCTTCTTTTTCTTCCTTCTCCTTTATTCTCCTTCTTCTTATTCTTCTTGGCAGTACTGGCAATTGCACCCTCCTCATTGTTTGCTAGGCAAGAGCTCTACCACTTGAGCCACACACCCCAGTTCCAAAACTGAATTGACCAAGTGATGGGCAGCTCTTTCCTGACCTGGTGCTCACTGAGAAAATGTCCTAATCAGTTCAGTCTCAAAGACTGGGACACTTAAGGGTGATGAGCCAGAGCAACTAGGGCCCAACATTTCTCTAACTGTCCAGGAGCTAAAGATAACTTCTGGCCTCTGACCTAAGGGCACAGCTCAGAGAGATGAATATTAAAGCAGCCAAAGAAATGAGAGCTAGTTGAAGTTGGTGGTGCCTGAAAACTTGTGTCATTTCTATTCTGGTTCCTCTTCGTCCAACTTTCCATAAGATACAGGTTCAGCTTGTATGTGAGCTGGAGAAAGAGTTCAGTGGGAAGATGTCAACCACGATAACATGAAAAGGCTGTACTTTAAAAAGGTGCCCTTCAACTGAAGGAGTGGCTCAAGCGGGAGAACACCTGCCTAACAAGCATGAGGCCCTGAGTTCAAGCCTCAGTACTCGGGGTAGGTAAGGGAGGGGGCAGGGGGAAGGGGGAGAAATGACCCAAACATCGTATGCACATATGAATAAAAGAAAAAAAAAAAAAGCCCCAGTACTGCCAAAATAGGAAAAGTGTCAAGCTGTCAGGCTATGGTTGTAGCTCAGTGGTAGTATGTTAGCATGTGCAAAGCCCTGGATTCTACTTCCAGGGGAGAGAGAGAAAGAGAGAGAGAGATTGAAGAGTGTTTCTGACAGCAGCATGTGATACAATCTTGAAAACTCACTCATAAAGTTGCCTGGGTGAAAGAGTAATGTGAGCGAGATGACAACAGGTTACAGTGGTCATTTTGGATAAAGCACAGCAGACAAAATAGATTCCAAGTTTGAAATCTTTCCTGGTATATAGAGGAAACTCACAGAAAAAGGTGTTAATTTTGAAATCCCAGAGTTTAAGACTGAAGTCTTATCATTCATTATCATACACACACATACACAGCCCTTTATTTTCAGGCCTCCTGGAGAAACTGATAGACTATTTCACAGTCTCAACCTTCTTACAGGGAAGGCACTGGGTTAAAACTTCATTTAGGACAGGATTGGTGTGCTAACTCATCCTGTGAGCCTTGGCTAAGGTCTGTTCAGTCATTTGACAGGTTCTGTAGGCCATTTGAGTGCCAAGTCTGTGTACTCTGCATCATATCCATATCCCTGACAGATCATTTCAGCATCTCAAAAGTGATCGTGCCTCATCTTTAGAATGAGACAACTGGATGAGATCAGAGATCAGAAACCAAATGCCTAGAGAGCAGGGTAGCACCATAAATGAGAGAACAGGGCCGGGTGAACAGAAGAACTCTGAGTGGTGGAGAGTATGGCAAACTAGAGAGCTCAAGCTGTGTCCCAAAGAGGCAGCTCTTTCTCAGCTCAATCAAATTTACCCTGTGGGGCGATATATACAGGCCTAAAGTACCAAGGAGAAATCCCCTTGGACCATCAATATACATTTAAAAAAATGAAGGGCAGGAGAGAAAAATAGAGTACCAGTGGGAGGTGGGTAGTCACAAGGAAAGAGACAGTGAGGGTGAAAATGGTGGATGTATTTTGTATCCACATATGAAAAAAGAGGAATGAAACCTGTTGAAATTGTTCTAACAAGAAAAGATGGAGAAAAATGGAGGTCAATCTAACTAAGATATATTGTAAGCACATTTGTAAATATCACCATGTATTCCCCTGTACAACTATTATATGCTAATGAAACATTTCTTTAAAATTTACCGTGTGTGATAGTGGGTCCAGTTTTGATTGATTGGGAATCCAAATATTTATGGGAAATTTTTGGTTATGTATTAGCTATCAATTCAATTTTTAAAGATACAAACAAAAAAGAAAATAACTATAAACTTATGCAGCCAAACAAGTGTATCTGTTGACTAGAATTGGCTATCAGATGGACCATTCCAGACTAGCTATGGAGGTTCTTTCTAGTTCTAGTTGCTTGTAACTTCCAGATGGACAAATATTTGAGCAGGTTTCTTGATCTCTCTTCGACTCTTTCCTCATCTGGGAAATGTAGATATTGATTCCTGCCTGGAATACCTATCAGGTTACTATAAAACACCAGCAAGGTATTAAAAACATTTTGCAAATAACAGGTTTGGCGATTGTGAAGAATTATTGTTACTCAAGGAAAAAACTTAATCTAGAGATAATGAAATGTCCTATTGTGTCTTTCATTGAGTTTTGTTAAATATTTGTTCACGTTGAAAAGGTCAGAGAGAGACTTACCCTTCCATCTGGAGTCCTGGGACCAGAGTAGGGTGGAACCTCACCCATTAGAACTGGCCACACATCAAAAAATTCCTAGGAGTGAAAAAAATAGAATTACATGTTTTGAAAATAGATCAAGGAAAAGAGATTAAGAAAAGAAGACCAGCTTATATGAGTCATCTATCACTGAAATTTGGAAGGTGAGAAGAGTTTACTGAGACCTAAGTATGGAAGGGCAGTAAGACCTTCTAGAGTTAGAGGATAGTCACATCTACCCTATAGAATCATTAGCCAAAACACAGGAACTGAGTTGGGGTACCCTCAGTGTTGTGGGATGTGAAAGCAAAAGTGGGGTGTTTATGGCTAAGAAATTTACCTTAAGGACATACTAGGCACATGGTTGATATTTTAGCTAAAAAAATGTCCCTTTGCAATATCATTTATAGCAGTGAAGAATCAAAAATAATCTAAGTGCCCAACCAGAGGGAACTTACTGGATCAATGAGCCCACATCTATTAACAGTGATTCTACAGATGTGTGGGTACTAATTGAAAAGGCATCCATGATAAAGTAATGAGTAAAAAATAGCAAGAAGTGTAAAAAAAAATACCATGTGCTGGGTGCCAATGGCTCACACCTGAAATCCTAGGTAGTACTGGGGAATCAAGCCCAGAGCCTTGTGCATACTAGGCAAATACTCCACCTCTGAGCTACTTCCCTAGCTCACCCCAGCTACTTGGGAAGCTAAAATGGAGGTTCCAGGCCAGCCTGGGGAAAAAACTTTGAGAGATATCATATGAACAGCTGTCATCCCAGCTATGATGGGCAGCCTAAAGTAGGAGGATCTCGGTCCTGACTGGCCTAGGCCAAAAAGTGAGACCCTCACTCCAAAATAACCAGAGCAAAAAGGGTTGGAAGTGTGGCTCAAGCAGAACACCTGCCTAGCAAGTGTGAAGCCCTGAGTTCAAACCCCAGTACCAAAACCAAAACATATATAAGCACAAATATATACTATTATAAAACAAATATATATTTATCATGTGACCCCCACTCTTCATTTGCAGAAAGTGTGAAAAAATTCACAAATCATTAAAAATTAGTTTTCTATGGTGATTGGAATGAGACTATAACTTGATTAGGCTCGTTATTGCTTTTGGAATCACATACAAAAAAAATGTTTCCCAAGTAAGAAAGAGGATAATAGATATCTGAGGCCTAACAAAAAAGGCCAACACCTGGAACACAGGAGCTTTTCAAACAATAAGCAGGCGACCATTAGCCTGAGGCTGCCTCTGTACTTTGAGTCCCCGTACAGCAATTTGTGTCCCTACATAGTAAGCTGCAACCTAACTTAGTGCGTGATCAAACAAAAAACCTAGGCTGGCGATGTAGCTCAGTTGTAGACCACTTGCATGTGCAAGGCTCTGGGTTCCATCATTGACACTGAAAAAAATCCAGGTTAAGGGTATGTTTTTATAGGGGAGCAGGCAATAGAGAAAAAGTAAGATTAATCTGATTAAAGCACAATATATACATCTGTAAAGTGCTGAAGGACAGGAGGGTAAAACAGGACCTGTCCAGGGGTGAGTACCACTGTGTGTGGGGGTGATAAGTGGAGAGGGTGAAGGAGGGCAAATCTGGTCGCTGTTCTCTGTTTTTTTGACAGGGTCTTGAACTTAGGGCTTTACACTTGCAAAGCAGGTGCTCTATTTCTTAAGCCACACCTCCAGCCCATTTTGCTCTGGTTATTTTGGAGATGGGGGTCTCACAAACTATTTCCTCAGGCTGGCCTTGAACCTTGATCCTTTGGATTTCAGCCTCATATGTGGTTGAGATTAAAGGCATCAGCCACTGGCATCCGGCTGATGGATGTACTTTGTATAAGAGTATGACAATAGAGCAATGAAACTGAAATTGTTCTAAGAAGGTGAGGAGGGGAAAGAGGGAGAATGATGGGAAAAGGAAAGAGGGTGACTCTAATTAAGATACTATAAGCACATATGTAAATGTCACAATGAATTCTCCCTATACAACTATTATATGCTAATAAATAAAAATGAACAATAAAAAAGAAAAAGAAAATAATTTTAAGACAAAAAAAGAGTATTTTGTAACAAGTAACAGAGTTTCAGCCAATCACGGGCAGCCAACTGATCAGATCACACCCAAATCAGGCAAATGTATAACTATAGCCAATCAAGTTACTTCTTTACTTTCTTTTCCCCAAGTTCATCCTAGAAAATATTATTGCCCACACTGTAGAGCAGAGCTTTCTGGACATCATCTAGGTTGGGTGCCAGTGGTTCATGCTTGTAATCCTAGGAGTCAGAGATGAGGAGTGATCATGGCTCAAAGCCATCCCAGGAAAGTGGTTCTTGAGACCCTGTCTCGAAAATACTGTACATAAAAAAGGGCTGGTGGAGTGACTCAAGTGGTAGAGCACCTGCCTAGCAAGCATAAGGCCCCAAGTTCAAGTTCAAACTCCAGTACTGCGGGGGGTGGGGGGGGGTGGGGGTGGGGGGGGGTGGACATCTGATCTTGAGTGCTGTATGATTCACAAATCATTCTTTGCTCAAGCAAGCTCTATTTAATTTATTTTGTCTTAAGTTTGTCTTTTAGCCTGGCCCAACATGTAGGCAGAAAAAAGAGCCAAGAAAGAAGCTGCCTCACCATGTAGAGAACCACTGAGACACACACAGGCTCTGGCCTGCTGCTTCTCCACCAGTTTCCTTTGCATGCAGAATGGCAAAGCTTGTGTTGATCCAAGTCTGAACCTAACAGAGAAGGCCTCTCTCCTCCAGGGCCTTCTTTGTTCTTCATTCAGCTGTTAATATTTAGGGACAAACAATCATCTATTGACACTGGGCTATTGTGGGTAGGATGCCAACCTTCTTCCTTTGCATGTCTCTCACCATGCTTTGCTTACCCTAATCTCATTCAGGGAACAAGCAGAAGGGAATCCCCATGAAATTCAACTCTGTCCTCAGTGTTCTGCCCAGTGGAATCTTTTTCTAGACTAGTAACAACAGGAAGAAATTCAGTTCTGGATGAAAAGTGAACTGGGGGCCTACCTGAGCCCTACATCCTGCTTACTACTAGATATACAGAGATGGAGAAGGCACAGTTCGAGGCCTAGAGGAAGGAGATAATCAAGTTCTCAAGTAAGGCAGATGAAGTAAGAACCAAAACAGGAATGGAAGGAGAGAATACATCTAAAGAGTCCAGAAGAACAAGTGTAGTGATTGATATCTTCTGTCACCAAACACTTAGTGGATCTGACGATTGTCCCAAAGAGAAGAGAAATCGTCAAACCAGGGGTTAGGTAGGAGATGGAGCATATTTATGACCTCTCCCTCTATTCCTTCTCCCTTCCCTTTGTTCCCTCTTTTCTCCCTTTGCAGTGCTGGAAATTAAACCAAAGACCTCAAGCATGATAGGCAAGTACTCTGCCATTGAGCTACACCTGGAGCCCCCTCTTCTCTTTCTTAATAGCTTCATTGAGATATAATTCATATATCAGATAGTATGATGTGGATATGGTTTGAATCTGTTCCCCCACCCAAGGTTCATGTGCTGGAAGCTGGTTCCCAGTGTGACATTGTAAAGGTGGTAGAACCTATCAGAGGTGGAGCCTCGTGAAAGGGGTTTAGATCATTGGGGATGTGGCCTTCAGAAGGGATTAAAGTAGTTTTGATGAACCCCATTAGTTAGTTTCCAAGAGAGAAGGTCGTTATGATGAGAGCAAACGTGGTCCCTGAAGCTCTCTGGCTTCCTGTCTCACCATGTGACGTTTTGTACACACATCTCCATCACTGTGATACCAGCCACCAGGCCTTCACCAGAGGCTGAACAGATGGAGCTGCCCAATCTTGGACTTTCAGTCTCCAAAAACTTATTTTGTTGTAGCAACAAGAAATGGAATAAGACACCATGCAATTAAGTCATTTAAAGTATACAGTTCAAAGGCTTTAAGGATTTTTTTCATAATGTCAATAGCTCAGGTAACAGCTTAGCTACCTGGGGGGCAGGTACTTAGAGTGATTGTAGGCAGCCTTGCCTACATCTAATTGCTAAGTTGTTCCATCTTCTGGGGATGACTAAATTCCACAGTTGCTTAACTGTGGTTTTAACTTGAGAGAGTTGAAAAGGATGAGAGGTTAGAACATTGCAGCATGGCGCAGGCTGAGCCTGGGGTCAGGTCCTGCTAACTGGGCACCTAGAAATGAATTCTCTTGAGTTTGAGTGCTCAGAAATTCTTTTGATGGGGCTGAGGATATAGCTCAGTAGTGGAATATCTCCTTAGCAGCACAAGGTCCTGTGTTTGATCCCTAGCACGGAAAAACAAAACAGCACAATGTCTCCCACCTGCAGTCCCATCTAGTTAGGAGACTGAAGCAAGAGCAATGCTGGAGCCCAGGAGTTTAGCTAGCCTGAGCAAGGCAGAGACCCATCTCAAAGAGAGGGAGGGAGAAGGAAGGAAGGAAAGAAGGAGGGAAGGAAGGACGGAAGGAGGGAGGGAGGGGGAGAGAGGGGAGGAAGGAAGGAGGTGGGGACAGAGAGGAGGAAAGAAGGAAGGAAGGAGGAGGGGGGAAGGAAAGAAAGATTATTTTGGTTTAAAAAGAATCATTAATGTCCCAACTGCACCAGAATCGCTTAGGAAGCTATTTTAAAGGTAAAAAAATCAGAAAAATAGACCCATGTGTATATGGCACTATGATACATGATAAAGTGGTTTATCAAAATGGTGGCATTTATGAGCAGTGCATTCTGACTGTTATTAAAGTTAAGAAATACAGAGAAAAAAGTTATCCCATTTCACTTCATATACATACTTAATTTCAAGATACATAAAAATTAAACTAGCCAGGTGCCTGTGGCTTAGCCTATGATCCTAGCTTCTTGACAGGCTGAGATAGGGATGATTTTAGTTTAAGGCTAGTCCATCTTTGAAATAATCAGAGCAGCTGGTGGATGGCTCAAGGGTTAGAGCGCCTGCCCAGTACGCATGAGATCCTGAGTTCAATCACCAGTACCCCCAAAAGAAATTTAGTAAAACAAAATAAACAGAGCAAAAAAGGACTGGAGGTGTAGC